CCCCAGGCATGTAATTTGCATGGCAATTTTTTCAGTCTTCTAAATAAAAGCTTCTGCTAATGCAAATATCGTAGAGTGTAATGCCAGCAATTTTTATCTGAAATCTAGGATTAGCTGTACGGCTTATGTCAGACAACAACAACAAAAAAGTCCTAATCACCCTTACGTTGTTTCCTTCTTTTGTTGCATAGGCAGCTTAGACTAACTAACTTTTTCTTAGGGTTCTGGTTCATAGTGTATTGAGTGTAGGTGTAAGAAACCAAATTGTTACTTCAGGGTGTCTCACGGCCCCTCTTAAAGAAATGACTGCTTCTGCAGCACGTACAGCAGAATAGGCAGGCGCTGTGTCAGCTCTTCAACTTTTACAGATTGTAGCCTGGCATTTTAGCACAAGGTGAAGTCTGTGGTTTAAGTAGTTGAAGTATGTACCCGTTACTCAACTTCTGCAGCAAGGTGCTTTGCTACAGGGGTGAAATGGGCATCTCGGAAAGGTAACCAGTTCCATTCCTTCCATGAAACCTAAAAAGTATTAGATATCATGGACTAAGAAAATGCATGAGTAGATCTCCAGTTTCAGGACATCAAATGCTGCATTAACTAGGTTCAGTTTGATACCATAAATGGTGATGGCATCAGGAATCAGCCTTCGTTTTAATGCCAATTAATTTATTTAGTTTTATTATGACAGCGAATGCTATGTTGTAGTGTTCTGGCAGCTGTCATGCCACAGCTTATCTTCCTGCACTTCATGTGCATGTATTGTCAATATAAGTTTTTAAGAATTAAATCCATAAAATATATTAAACTAGTTTTAAAATAACTTTTTATATCTTGTGGCACCTTTTTGTTCCAAGCCTTTGTGTGGTTCACTTATTTGTGGTGTTGGTATTTTTTCCACCTAATAACTGTTAGGGATTTAAATGAAGAAAAAGCTATTTTCAAATTTATATGAAAAATGAAATTTCCTGGTAGCTGTTTCAGGAACACTGTCAAATATTAAGACTAGAAGTAGAAGAGCAGTAAGTGGCATCAGTGTGCCTGATACACCTGAAGAAATGATTTACCTTCATGCTTTCCCTATTTTCTAGGCATTTGAAATGCATACGTTGGGTGTACTGATAGTATTGGCCTATCCACACACTTCATTTCTGAGTGGGGATGGAAAGGATTTTTAATTTTCTGTGTGCGTGTGTGTACATGTGATTAGTTGCATGAATAGGTGTAACTAAAAGTATGATTCAAATGGGTATCTTCAGTTATGTCCTCCCAGCTCTTCCTGCACTTCTTACATGTATAGGCATTCAGGTATATGACTGTCAAATCTGATTTCAAATAATAAACCATCTTTCAGTTACTGTTTTTGTCTATTTCTTTAATGCGTACATAAGGATAAAGAATTGGATCTAACAAGGTAAGCCGCATCTTCTGACCTTTGGGAAGTTCTGTCTTAAATGCCAAACACAGAGAAGGGGAAGGAAAATTCAGAACAACATTGTATCCCAGCTCTGTGTCTGCTCAGACAGTATGCAAGCGTAAAAGATTATTTTTAGTATCCTGATCCCCCTTCTTAAGTACGTATTCAAAGTATTTAATCTGATTAAATAAGATTAGTAATTTTTTAATAAATAGAACGTAGTCCAAGCTATTCCTTGTTGACGGACATTCAGATGCTGATTCATCATGGCTCATAAATGTGTGCTTGTATGTGGCCCTTTTCTATTAAACTCTAGGTATGGATTCTTCATTTGTGCAGATGTGAAATCATTCTAAGCAGTAACCAAATTTCATTCATTCACGTACCACTACCTGAAAGAAATTTCTTAAAAGAATAGGTGAAACATCAAGCTCATTGGTTGGGGAAGCCTTAACTTGTATATTTGGTTAATAATACTTGATTGAAAATACCTGTAGACGAGATAACGAGAGGGCAAGTTTGCTTGTGTCATCTGAAAAAATAGGAAAGTTAGCTTTTTATAGTCCTCTTACGTAAGCTGAAGCAACACTTCACTTAATAGACCGGTTTAGAATAGAAAGCGTATTTCATTTTAGTCACCTGGAGTAAGCTGAAATGCGTTGCTCTTACAGCATGGGTGGAGAAGGTGAGGTGAGCTGAGCATGTCGAACTGGTCACTTCTGCTGAAAGGGGCTGTTTTTCTGGCAGCTATGTGGCCCTGCCTCTTTCCTTCTATCAGTCCCGCCACTTTCCTGACATCTTGCTGAACTGCTTTGGCTCATTAGTCTAGCATAGGACTAAGTCATCAGACTAGAGGGAACACCAGTTCTTTTCCTGCTTGGTAAGTTGTGTCGGCTTGCTCAGCTCATTCAAGGGTCTTGCAGCTCCTGGTGTCACGCTGGAGAAGCAGGAGGCGGAATTACCCCTTACAGCAAGGTGGCCATGCCTACACCGTCACCCTGTAAGGAACAGGAATTGAAGTGGAATCACATTGCTTACAGTGGAGACTTGTATGAATATGTACGATGGATTCTGTCTAGTAACAGGAAAAGGTAGTAAAGTCTATAGGAACATACAGTGCTGTGTGAATAGATAGGTTCATCTGCAAATTGCTAGAAGGTCCGTTCATTCTTTTTGCTCTGGTCCAACTGGTAATTTTCTACTCTAATTGTATGGTGAAAGGAAGTCTGTTTGAAACTGCAGCGGTATCACTTGACTGCCAGGATATAGCTTCACAGGTTTTGTCTTTTTTTGTCTGTTTGTTTTGGAAATATGTTTCCAGACTGCTAATATAATGTCTTAAGCTAGAATAATTAGTGCGCAAGCAACTGCTAAGCAAGGTAGAATAATTTTTTCTGGCTAAAAAATTATTTTGTTTGAAATGAAGGACTTAATAAAGAAAAAAATACCCTTTAGATTGTTCAAAACTGGGTTTGTAATAGCCTTTTTCTTTCCTTTCCTCCTATTAAGGTCCTCGATGCCTCAACACTCAGCTTTGGTACTCGAGTCAGATGGTTTGCCATATGTTTTGTTGCTGGCATTGTGTGTTCTATTCTTGTAAGTAAAGTTTTGGGTTTGTTTTTTTTTCCCCCATACTTTATTAATGTTCTACAGTAGAACCTCATTCATATTCATACTTAATATGTGATCTGTGTTTGCTTTATCCTGCATCCTAAATTTTGTATCCATAAATTTAACTGGACATTAAATGTATAATTAGCATGTAGGGGCTCTTCCACAAACTATGATTTTGACAGTCTTTCTTCCATTCACAGCAGTGAGCACTTTTATTCTAATGTAATAAAAATTCTTACTAAAAGGTGGGGACACTGACAAAATACGCTATATTTTTAATTTAGATTTGTGAGTGGTGTACTAGGAAAGAGTTTTTGCTGTACCCTTCTTATTTTTGTTCTCTCCAGTAAAAGTGGAAAAAGGAGAGGGAGACTAGAAAGGTTTTTAAAAGCTGAAGAAACCACAAGTGTCACCTGTCATACTCACAAATCAATGGGTGATGACTGCGGTGGCATGTTGACACTTCAAAAACCTGCTGTACTCCTGTTGATCGTACGGTCAGCAAATCATTTGTTCATTCTTGAACTAGAGGTGTTGGCAGGAGACTTAAGCCTGCAGTTACAAGTTGAGATCTGTTAATTGACTGGGTCTACCAAAATCTGACATGGGTAACTTGTACTACAAAGCAGTTTTTCATCTGTGTGAGGAGTCCCAGAAGCAGGTGAAATAACATTGGGGAAGTAGCCAGACTGCTGGTTTGGGTTGTTTTTTCTTGTTTGGCTTTTTTGGGGGGGGTTTCTTTGGGGTTTGGGGGGGTTTTGTTTTTTTTTTTTTCTTGTTTGGGGTGTTTTTTGTTTGTTTTGTTATGAAGTAGAATGTTACTTTTGATATAAGCTGGTCAGCAGCCTTTGGCTAATGTGTGGGGATGACATTTGTAGTTTTTGTGGCAACTGTCAGGCAGATTGCCTGGACTCTTAATGCATTCTGGTAGTAGGATGGAGGAACTTGTCCTCCTTGTGTGCATTAGTTTCTGGTGTTGCTGTTATTTAAATGACTGTGGCTGCTCCTTCATTTATCATGAAAAGTTTTTGTAAAAAGGAGAGACTTGCGTAATGACAGGAAGAAGCAGCTGTGGAGGAGCAACATGTTGATTGATTGAGGCACTCGCTTAGAGATAGCCACTCACTGGATTCTCCTGCAGGTGGAAGTTTCTGATTCTTTATCAAAACTTGCAGTTTGTTAGACTCCCTGAGACCCAGAGGTCAACCAGAACAATAGCTGGTCTCACCTATGAGAGGTCTTATTTAAGTGGTAATAAGTTATAATAATAATAATATAAATATTATATTATATAAATTTTCTATGTATAAAATATATAAATTTATATAAATTCCTATAAATAAAGGAACTGGAGAGTGGTGTTCTTCGTATTGATATCTATGCCAAGTACAGTGACACAAACTCCGGCCAGATGCTTGTGTTAAAGAAGGGGCAAGTTCTAGGGAGGGAGCTCAATTTTGGGTTGGAATATCCCTTTTTTAGGGTTGCTTAAGCATTATTTGCTTGACTTCCCCTCCCCCCCCTCTATTTTTTTTCCCCGCAAGTAGTATTTAACCAATATAATCACAAATTTTAGAACACACTATGTTTGTGCTTTAACACCTATTTCTGGGCAGGTTAACATCACTCTTGTTGCTGCTGGTTTTTTAGTGTTTAATTTTTGTGCCTGTTCTGTATCACATGCTATGAAATAATGAAACAACAAATAAAAGGCTTTAGGATCTTAGTTTCCTAAAATTATCTTGCACTTGATAGATAAGAGTCAAAACTCTGCTAGTGTGTTTGTGGACCTCGTATCTTCGAGAGTTTGGAGGCAGCTCCCTAGCTGAGCTTTGCCACCTTCTGCTTCAGGTTATGGACCTTTTGCTGCAGCATTAGGGACGCCGTCAAAGAAATGCTCAGGTTGTCCTTTACAGGCGTGTACCTGATCTTTAGATCTCTTATGTCCACAACCTGGTATATTTATTATGTTCTTGGGTGGCCAAAATTGCAGGCGGTGGTTTTTTTTTTTTTTAGTCTTTGCAAAGTGTCCATTTGCTTTCCTTATAGAATACAATTACAGTGTTGCAGTTTTTCATGATTGCTTGTATTGTGGTTTGTGCAAAAGGACACCACTGATGCCCACTGAAATTGCAATTAGGTAGACCATAGTTAGAATATAGTTGCCTTTTGTTTTTTTTTTTCTTTTTTGCAGGACAGCGTCCACATCATAGCTTAAAAAAAAAAAGTTAAAAACAACAACAACAAAAAAACCCCCTAAAAACATGTTTTGCTTCTAGTTTAGGTTATATTTCTCCCTGATCATCATAGGGACTGTGATCAGCAGAAGACTTTGGGGTTTTTTTGTGTGTTTAGTGGAAAAAAGAGATGTCTGGAAGTGTGAATTATAAAATATTTCTGTTCAGCCTCTGTGTATCCAGACTGTGAGTCCAGATGGTTGATTGGACGAGAAAGGAGATTGGGTGTATTAATGTGGCTTTATGACATTTTTTCTTCTGTGTGCAGAGGTATATCATGTATAGTGGGGCACTGTAACAAAACTGAAAGTGTCATAAATAGAATAAATGTTATAAACTACATAAACATTGCCTAGTTGTGAAAATATTGTGAAATCTAGTAAACCAATGTTATTTTGCCAGTAGGTGGCAATAGAAGTATGCTGAATATTGACTACTACAAATCTGAGAACAGTGTATGGTATATCTACTGGTATATGTTAGAATCACACTCTTCGTAGTCTGAAAATATAGACTATAAAATCTAAGTAAATTGAATTAACTAATTACAAACATACAAATAACCTATCTTTTATAGGGAACAGCATTGCTATGGCTCCCAAAGGGAATCAAACTTTTTGCAGTGTTTTACACCCTGGGAAATATTGCTGCATTAGCCAGGTATGATTTCTTAATTATTGTTATTAGAAAAGAATCCTCTTTTTATCTACACTTTCATTTGCTTTTACTCTAAAAAGGTGTCTTTTTATGTTACGTATAAACAAATTATTTTCATATTGAAATGCTAATAAGATAAAATCTTGTTTGTCTTACAGTTTTAAGATTGTCATAATTGGTGAATATCAGTTCTTCACTTGTTATTGCCCCATTATGATGTCTTACGTGATTGTTTTGTGGAAGCATCACAATTGCTATCTGAAGGATGAATGACACATTGCTGGCTGAATGTTTTGTACTTTTTAAGTCCTTCTGCCAGGTACAGAGGTACCTCGGTTTCAGGGGCAAATTGGTAGTCTGCCCACTGTGTGGATGCTTTGTTACTGGAAGGAGCTTTTTGCTTTTAACAGAGAGAGATAGCATCTTGTTTCTAGGAAAACTCTTTGAAAAAGGAGAGGTTCAGGAAATCCTCGTTTTGACTCTTAAGGCCAGGCGGAGTCTAAAAGTCATTTACAGTGTATTTTTAAACTCTGTGCTTGGTTCTTTGCAGTGTCCTCCTTCTTCTACTGTCTTGGCATAGTTGAAGCATGGTCATGGGACTCAGAACCCATGGAGTCTGGTCTTGACTTTCATGGACTCTCTGACTTTAGTCAAGTTACTTAACTCTTGAGTCAAGGCATTGTTAATCTATTAAAACTCCAGCAATGAGATGTTAACATTTGAGAAATGTGATGATGTGCTGCTTTTCCTCAATAAATTTGTTAGGGGACAAAAATGTTTATACTGGTACTGAGTCTCATGGTATAACTATTCCATCTCATACTAAAACAAGACAAAAAGTTAATACTGGAGGTAGGCAAAACTGAATATTTCCCTTTCTCTCCCTTACCTTATTTTTTTATTCTTCATTGTTGTTTTTTTATTTTGGTTGATTTTTTTTCTTACCTAGTATTTTGGGTGCATTTTCACTGTTTCAAATTAAATTAGCATTTTAGAAACTTGGCACTAATCAAGTCGAATTGTCAGTGAACTAAGAGAAAGCTTTTACAGACTGGTATTTATTTTAGGAGAATGCTGAAAAACTTTAGTCTGGACTCCAACTAAAATTAGAAGTAAAAAGAGGCTCCCTTTCCCTTCAGTGGTCCTTTTGGATATAGACAACAGGCAACTGGCTTCTAAGAACAGTGGGGAATAACAATAATGTCCCAAATTGACAAGATTTAAACTTTTTCTGGCTTGTTTGCAAGTTTGTATTTAAAACAAATGCAGTTACCACTTTTACTAAATAGTCCTGTCTAGCCTGTTTTTACTACGATTTTCTAACCACAAATGTGAAAACAAGGATACTTACTGATTCTTTTCTGGGATGATGGGTGTGTCTTCTATAGAACGTATTGTATGTAAGAAATACCCTGTGCAAGTGGAGGACCTCTAGTTTTTTTCCAACCTTTCTGCTCCTTATGGATTCTCTTGCATCTCTGGAGAAGCTCTTGTGATGTCCATCCTTCAATGCTAACCAGGCTAGCATCAATGCGTTTTGCTTTCTATATTTTTTCTGCCTATTTTATGTGGCCTGAACCTCCTTCATTTTATCATCATATTTTCATCATCCCTGTCCTTCCACTAGCTAACCAATTTTTTATTCTAGTTCTTCAGGTCTCTTTTTTTTTTTTTTTTGTGTGTGTGTACGTTTATTTAATTTTATGGCCCAGCAGCCAAGACTAAAAAATACTGAGAAAAAGTTAGTTTGGATCACAGTGAATTTAAAACTTTCTTTTTAGTACTGAATTGAGGGGTTTTTTTTTCCATTAAACATGGACTTTTGAGATCTGTCTATGCAACTTAAAGAAGAAAAACAAAGTTAAGAGAAGGGGATATATACACAAAGTTACTGGTAGGGAAACATCTGGGTGTTGGGAGGCTGTGGGTTCAGTTTAGTGCTTGCGACATGGATTCCTGTATTCTTCTATCTCTGAAGGTGTATGCCTCACCAGGTTTATGACTGGTTTCAGGAAAACTAGAAAATTAGTTGAAAGTAGGTTTCCTACTCTGCAGTAAAGCATTCAGACCACCACAAGGTTACAGGCATTCTCACTCTCACTAAATATTTTCTAGAAAGCAGAATGGCTTCAAAAACAGGGAAGGGAGAGATTATTTTCAGAATATTTGAAGCCAGATAATTACTCTTACAGTTGTAAATTCTTGGTTCACGTCACGTTTCTTTGCAAGAACTGGTACAGCATAGCATTACTGATGGTTTTCATTCTCCCTTCAAGTTAACTACAGAATAGAACAAAGCAGGAGGATTTAATATAAACTACTGAAGTTTTTCCTTCTTTTTTGCTTGCTGAGTTTGGGCAAAGAGTTAGAGCTTCCCTGTAATATTGATTGTAGCTACTTGTGTGCTGCCCGGCTAAGATGTTTATTGTTAAACAGAAATTTTCTGCAGAAGTTTGGTCTTTGTATTCTTTTGGCAAGTCAGTTCTTAAAAACAGCCTCAACATGAAATTCACTGGACTTCAACTCGACAACCCTCTGATATAAGTGCTGATGTTTTGGAAAGAATTTCATGACCAAGGGTGACTCAATGCATAAACTGTTTCCAGGATTAAATTCATGGAGTATTTCACCTTCATTCAGATGTCTGTTGTTAAACACTGAAATGCCTTTTTTAAAGCCTTTGTACTCATCTAACTTTTGGAAAACTGGTTAATTACCTATTGTTTTTTGCAAAGATTTATTTGAAAGTGATTTACCATTTGTTTTGCTTTTTCCCTCCTATAGTACATGTTTCCTGATGGGGCCACTGAAACAATTGAAAGCAATGTTTGAGCCAAAAAGATTAATAGCTACAGTTGTGATGTTGGTAAATATGCTGTCTTTACTTCCTTTTGCTAAAAAGTTTTCCTGTAGCCTCAAAGCTAAATATGAGGCTTTTCTAAAGAGAGGTTATTTCTCAGTCCAATTCTTCTTTGTACTGAGTACTAATATGGGTTGTATATTCTTTTTCTCATGCACTCACACGAAAAAAAAGTTCTCATTTGACAAGCTCACATTTGACTGCATCTTTTCGAGAAGTGACTTGATCCTACTTTTTGCCATGTGTTTTAGGGAAGTTAATGTTTCATAGGTCTGCAGTAAAAATGTCCAAGAATATCTCCAGTTCTCCAGAGTCTCTGCTGAGCATGAATTCTCTGACGCTTCATAGCTGTGGGCTTTTTCTGGTCAAGCTGGGGGCCTAAGCCAGATGCTAAAATAGCCAACACAAATATTACTTCCTTTGTTATCCTATCATCCACTATGCTCAGACACAGTGACAAAGAAAGTATCTTGCTTTGAAGGCTGTAGAAACAAGACATATGTCGGGGAAATGGAAAAAGAACAGACAGTAGAAAAAACACGACAGACCTACCTACCTACCCATGAAGAGAAGCTACCAACGAGGCTAGAAAGAGACAGAATGAAAGGTTTCATCGAATAGGGAACAGGAATACTGGATGAGAGCTAAGACTGTTAGGATGGAAAATTTCAATAATACAGAGAACTGGTAAACTCCTAAAGTTCGGAAAACTTTTGATGTATTCAACTGTTTTTCTTCCCTATCCTAACACGAAACTACAATTGTAGGCGACTCAGGAGTCACAAATATGTTTGGAAAATTTCAAGAGAGTTGGTTACTTTTATTTCTTTCAGTAAAATGCCAACACATGTTTTTCAGTGAAAACTAATTTAGAGTTTTGTTCTGTTTTCTATTATGTGTAATGACAAATGGAGAGAGCCAGGTGAGATTTAGTGGAAAAAGTTTGAATTGCTGCTTGCACAAATGGTGTGATTAATTTGGCTTAGTAAACTATATCATTGTGATGTTCCATCAAAGGTGTGTAAGTAGCTTGAATAAAGCTTCATGTGAGCTTTTTCACTGTGTACGAAGCAGCTGCTCCCTAGTGGGCTCTTCATTACTGTCAGAAGATGAAAAATCACTGGCAGAAGCAGCAGAGCCTGTGTTTGCCAAATGCCGAATTGTGAATAGGTGTGTTTAATAATGGGTTGTTCATAGTGATGCACATAACATCAACACCTGACAAGAAAGGTATGAATACTAGACCCAAAATGATAGTATGTACTGAGATAATAGAATAGCAGTTCCCAGACTACTTGGTTGCTTTCAAGCAAGCTTTATCATCTAAGCCCACCTCTTAATAGACCTAACACATAAGGCTACACAGACCTGGTTATACTCCTCCTGATTCCTGAAGTCAGTTCCTGCCTCCTCTTTCTTCTAAGACTTGTCCCAGCCTTTCTGGCCATGGAGCACATCATACTGTGCTTTGGAAAACACCAGTTTACATGGAGTTCATCATACAGTCACTGTGTGACAGCTTTTGGCTCTGCTTGTTTAATGAGTCAAGTTTGAAAATGCTGATCACCCATTGAAAACATGACAACAGTTACTGTATTTGCTTTGTTGTGTATTTGAGTATTCATTCTTTCTTTTTTTTTTTTTTGTTCTCTTCCTCCCACTCCAGCTTTTCCTAGTATTGACTCTGTGTGCTGTATTCTGGGTAAGTGAGGATACTTTGTTCCTCTAAAGAGCAATCTAGCTTGGTTAGTTTATTGATTGTGTTACAGCTTTAACATACAGCTCAGTTGTAGAGTAAAGATGAGCTTGTGAGTGCAGTATTTCTGTTTTCAACTGCAGCTGAGTTTAGGTGGAGTGATGAGCATGGTGGCTACAAAGTAAATGCACCCTTCCATCTGCACATGATGTAGATGAGAATACAAAATCTAGAGCATCAGGTTCAGTCTGCAGACCTCTGGAATAAGAACTAAGAAAAGCAAGTTAAAATGTATAAAATACAGAAATCACAGGTATAGAATATTAAACTGATTAAGACAAAGGAGGAGACATAAAAGAACAAGTACCTTCAGGCATCATGATTGAAAAACTGGCTGTAGTTATGTTACATAGAAGTGAATATGTAGCTGAAGCGAACTTCACATCTGCAGAAGTACAGTATTGTGAATGAAAGTGTTAGCATTGATGCTGTTAAGTGTTTCCAAAGCTAGAGAAGTTTTCATAGCATGATGCTAATGGGGTGACGGATAAAATTAATGGAAAGTAGTTAGAGTGGAAAGGAGTAGCAAATTAAGTTAAGGAAATTTAGGCATTGTCAGTTAACTAAATTTTCGGCTGAACAGGCTATTGCAGTTCTTTACAGTTTAGACCGGTGCAAAATGAACTAACTTGCAATATTTGCTTTATTTTTACTTAGTGGAACAAAAAAGGTTTGGCGATGTTATTCTGCATATTGCAGTTCTTGGCAATGACCTGGTAAGACTCTTAAAATTAATTTTAATTTCTTCTCCCTGCTCCTACACCCGCATGATTATAAACCTATATATATGCTTCGCATAATATAAGTGCCTAAATGCTAGCCTCAATCTGTAGCCTCAATCTGTTTTTCTAAGGTAGGCTGTGTAACTTCAGCAAAATCTATATGCAGTAGTCTTGCAAAAATGGTAATTTTAAGTATATTTTGCAGCGTGTGAACTTACTTGAGGCATATGAAAGGAATATATGTGCAAAAAACTCATGCCTTTTCTCTGTTGTGAAAGTAACTGTATACTCATATGTCCTGCTTTTGATTATCTCCCTCTTTTTTTTTTTCTTTTTTTTTGAGTTCTTAACTAAATTTTCATTTCTGAAGTGGAGGAAATTAAATAGCATTTACATAGGCTGTGTCCTGCCCCAAGAATATTCAGCAGCACTGGGTAAAGAGTGGGTGGATGTGAGTGAGAGGGTAAATTCAGTGCAGCAGGTGCTATGATGACCATCCAGATGCACTCAAGGGCTGGGCTTGGGGATGCGTGAGCACAGTGAGGTGAATGCCTGCGAGCCTGGCAGAAGTTTTGGACGTTACTGCTTTCTCCATGGAGATAAAACTGAACATACTTGGTTTCCTTGTCCCAGGTGAATTACTTGGTACCAACTCTGAGGCGATCCAAGGTGACCACAGTTCTTGTTTGAACTTGCCTTGAATGCACAGTGTCTATACTGAACCTGGATCTGCGGACAAATAACCATTTGTTCAGCTTAGGGACTGCTGGGCATCATGCTGGGCCCAGGTAAATGCTTGACACTAGACAGAGGGAACATTGCTAACTCACAGTATGTTCTAGAAGTTTACAGCAAACAGCTTCACACTTGCTAAGTGTCCTCGAGTTTGATCAGGCTGGGCGTGAGAACAAAACGCAGCTTGGAGGCCTGCAAGAAGCAAGTTTCAGAGGATAATAGAATTAACAGTTATTTGAGTGTCACGGTTGTGGCATATTATTCATACTACAACATATATCTGTATTTAGGGTTACATAAATAATATGATTAGATGTATATCTGCATACTAATGTATATTGTCTTTTAAACTGGAAGAAGTTGTCTCTGTCATCTTGAAGTACACAGTTTTCCTAGCAATCTCCATTCCTTTTGAAACTGGTGATAGCAAATCTGCTTTTTTAAGTGTATGTACAATAGAAGTTACGAACTATATTTAAAAAAAGGAAAAAGTAAACCAGGAATATGTTTAGTTCTTGCCCAAGCATGTCGCCTTTTCTCAGGTAAGCATTAAATTGAGTAGGTAGTATTGTTTAAAGTTTTGTTACAACAGATTGGTTTTATTAACGCTGGACTAAAGTGAAATAATTGGATTCTAGGAGAGATATGAACATTGTCAAATATACGTTTTTCCTCTTTTTTTTTTTTTTTTCAGGTATAGTCTGTCATATATTCCTTTTGCAAGGTGAGTCTGCATAATTACTCCCATCTTAACAAAAGTCGGCTATTGTTATGCTAGGGAGGGGGGAAAAGTCCTTAAATTTAGTATGTGAAAAAACATGGCTTCTGTCTTTCCTTTTAATTTTTAGAAAATTACATAGCTGAACTCAAAGTAATGCTTAGTACAAGCTTTAAATACAAGTAAAGTGCATAGTAATTCTTTGTTAAATTTCATTCTAGTTTTCATCACTGAAAATAAATGGAGTTTTTGGTTAAATTCTCCAGTGATTTAAAAATGCACTGATGCAATAGTGACCTTTCCAGTACTTACATTAAAAATAACTTATAGATCTGAGTTCTTAGCTAAAAGCAAACAAGCAAGCATAATGTCAGCTGCTGAGTCTACTTCCGAATTCCTCCATCACTTTTAGGAGAGGCAAAGGCAATGTGTTAATTCTCGTTTTGGCAAGCTGCTTTTTCATTTCACTCTTTTGTGTACAAAAAGGGAACAAAAGCCAACCAAACACCTTGTGAAACCCCATGCAAGTAAACAAACTGAAGAATCTATTTTTTCTAGAATGTTTCGCGCAAAATAGTCTTTTTCAGCTCTGTGTTTTCTAACAAGATAAAGTGCTTCTGTGTAGTGAGGTTTTCTGGAGCAAAAGTAGGGGGGGAAAAAAAAGAATACAAAGTATTGTATATCCCTTTCATCTGATGTCTTCTTGCAGTGTTTCTGTAGCTCTGCTGAAAACTCTGTACTATGGGGTTTTTTTTAAAGTTTCAGATTTGTCTGTTAGATTTTGTAAGTCAAAGAAGTGAATTTTACACAGGCTGCTTTTAGTAGTACAGCGATTTCTTTCGGGACTATTGAGTTATTTGCTTATGTGGAATGCTGTCATAAATTCCTTGTATAGGCTGCCTTTCTTACAGGGACAGTGATCTAAACCATGTTGAAGTGCCAGTGAACAGTGTTATGTAACTTTTTTTAGAAGTATGCGTTTATCTTGATTTCAACAAACTTGTCATACTTGACTTAACTCTGCTAATGGTTTACTCTTAACAACAATTTACATGTTATGTGTTTTTTGGGTGTTTTTTTTTTCCTTTTTAATTAATGGTGGCTCTCCCGCTGGCATGGCAAAAAAACCAAAACCAAACCAACAACAAAGCATGCATATAATGATTTTAAGGAGTTATGATAGTATTTTTCTTGATTTTTCAAATTGACTAACTGCAGCATGCAAATCCCACTCCTTAACAAGTTGTTACATTTTTGAGAAAATGAAACATAAAGGAGACTAGAGTGAGTGATCTAAGTGGAATAGTCAGAAAATGGTTTGTTGCTTGTTGGTTGAAGACACAGACCCCTTCAGATCTTCCAAACATTAAGGCTGAGCCAGCTCTCCATCCTGGAGTACCAGGACATGCACTGTAAACCCCTCAGCCTCTGCGGGTTTTTTCCTGCAGCACGATGGTCTAACTCCCATGGGGCTTGGACTCAAAGCACCTGTGCTTTGCTGATTGTCCGGATTTGGCGTGCTCCTCAACCCTGCCCTTGCTGGACAGCCTTCACAAAAAAAGGCTTTGACCTTTGCTAATCCACCAAGCGTGCTGCAGAACAACTTTTAGCACTGTGTCTGCATTTTTAGCATCTGCTTCAGTGTAAACAGTCCAGAAGACTTAGGCAACAGGGGCAGATCCGAGCTTCAGAATGGGCTTGAGCCTTTGCTTTAGCTGGTGCTGTGGATGTAATCAGTGTAATGATGGCTGTTAAGATCCTGCATTTGATAAACTATTGATTTTTGTCTTTAGTTTATGTAATATTTTTGATTTTAAATACGTAATGATTGATTATGTAAAGAAAATAACAAATACCTTAACTGACTTTTTTTTTCTTTTTAAAGGGATGCTGTGATTAAATGCTTCTCATCCTGTCTAGGGTAAATTAAAACCAGGAACCACTGTGTGCTTTAAAAGCTAACTCTTATTCCTCTGTGAATGTTGCTCAGAAAACTATACTTTTCCACTCATGAAATACCCAGTAACAATTTAGTATTTTCCTTGCCTTTTGCATTTGGGGGTTTAAATAATTTTTCCTAGAAACAGTTTTAAAAATAAATTGGGTGAACTGTTTGTGTTCACCCTGGAATTTTTAGGCTATTTTTAACAAGGAAGTACATTTAAATACCTTGTGCAGGCGAGTCTTAAAACTACCTTGCATCCAGTAACACAGTTTATTCCCCAGTGGAGGCAGACCACTAAGATCTGGGTTGTATGCTTAAAGATTTCACTTACAGTTCTGTCAAAAATTTGCGATGTGCCGTTTATGTTTGTACATTATTCACTGTATGCTTTTCCAAAGACAGAGTTTTATAAACATTGTAAAGATTTGGTAAGTTATATGCTGCTTTGAAATGTCTATACATGTGCCTTATGGAAAAAGCTTAATGAGAAGATGTGAAAGGTCTGTTTAAAGCCTGTTGAATTTTATTAAAAAGCTATATTTTAAACGTTTTTTCTTTACTTTCATACTTAAATACTTTTTAGTAAAAGAACTTATGGCTAAGGTATAAATGATATTTGTGAAATAAATCAACTTTAAAGGTGCCCAAACTATTTTTTATTTAGGTATCTGCTTATAGAGGACTGAAAATTTCAGCATTGCACTTGAATAACTATGAAAATTTATTAAAAAGTGGGGTATGTATACAACTGTATCCAAATTTGGTTATTAGATCTGCAGAAGTGACTTTAAAGCTTCTTTGTGTTGGTGTTTAGACAAACTGTTCATTCTGACTTAAACTGGTAACGGATTGGAGTGAAATGCTCTAATACTTTGCCTAGCTTCAGTAAGATGTTCTTGTTTCTAGTTTTTTGCAGCTAAGCGCCATTCAGTTATTCAGGAGCGAAGTGAAATCCTTAACATTTGATGGCCAACACTATTACCAGGAGGTTCTTTTTAGTACAGGTTGGGTGTGCTTGATGGCCTGCGGTCTAAACCCCAGTTGTTTTGGATTCTTTTTCCCTGCTAATCCAAAAATAGAAGAATGGATGGATTTGAAAAGATGTGAGCTGCAGTGTCAGGAAGGGGAAACCCCCCTGACTTTTAGTATTCAGGGTTCAGGCTGAAGAGAGGAATTGCAGTACGTTCCTGCTAAATCTCTGTATTGTTGCACAATATAGCAACATCTCTTGGGGAAGCTGTAGAAAGGATGACTGCATGATTTTTTGCAGCTAAACTGCCAACCAAGCCACACCTTCTAGGTGATCAATAACAATAAATGGCCAGTGAGGAGGCATCCTTCCTGCTGGTGAGAGGGGACCAGGTAGCCCTGGCCCTGCAGCAGGCGCTTGGGCTTGTTCGTGCTGGGCAGTGCGGTGACAGCCTCTCCAGCTCTGCCCGTCACAGCCCTGGGGTGCTGGTGGGGCACTGAGGGAATTTTTTAGTTCCTTTTAGATTTCAGCTTGCACTGAAGGTGAGCCAGCCTGTGCGTAGGTAGTGATCCTGGCAGTGACTGTCACTGCCCCTTCCCCAGTTGCTGCTACTGACCACGACTGGCATGGGGGAGGTCCCACCGTCCGGGTTGGTGCCGCAGGACTGGGCAGTTGTTTGCTCCAGAGGTGGTTTTGCCCGTCAACTGCCAGTTCTGGTACATGATTGCCTTCACTGTGATCTTGAATTAGAATTTGGGGTTTTTTTCATGTGCTGTGGTAAATGACAGAGTTAGCATTCATCACGTAACACTTGGTATTAGATGACCAGAACAGAATGGGTTCAAGAACTGAAGCCTGAAAGTTCCATGTACGGGTATGCGCTGAGGTCTGCTACATCACGTGCTCTTACACATTTTTCTCTCCTGAACATTTAAGGATTCACTTTCTTCATCTGCATACAGAGCACACACACCGTGTTCTTTCATCGGTACCTTTTGCTCCTTCATACCCTGGCTTTGTTTGCTGCATACGAGTATTCCAAAAGTTCACACCCTCGTTGCACCCTCATTGTATGACACCCTTTTATGACACTGTGAAACCGCAGATGTGGAGATCTCTATCCCTGTGGATTGCATGCATCCTACCCATCTTCTGATGAACATCCGGTACCCTAATAAAAATAGTACTTTGAAGTAAAGTCTGTAAAAATTATTTGCCATGACTTTTTAGGCAAAATTTTTGAGCGGTAGTAATCTTGGATTCATAGGAAATACATGCTCACCTCTGTCAGTGTTTAGGGTACTTTCAAAGGCAAGAAACTACTGCCTTCCTCCTCAAAAAAAATAAAAACAAAAACACAGCAAAAAAAACCCCAACCGACCAACCCAACCCAGAAGCGTTGATGCCTCAGTCACAGAAGGAATTGAGGCTGGGAATGAGAAGAAGGATCTCTGGACTAGGCTCTTTTGTTACCCAGCCAGCCTGCTGTTATCCTCAGCGTGAGCTCGCGTGTTTTGGGGTTCCGTGGCGGTGCCACTCTGCTCTCGGTCTCGGCGTGGCTGCCGGTGCTCGTGCCCTGCCTGCCCGCCCTCGCGCGCGGTGGCTCCGGCGGCCGGGGGGCTGCAAGGGTCAGCGATGCTTTGAAGATGGCGTGAGGGCG